ATAATTTATAAAAGGTCTTTATCTCCTGGCCCACTATGAAATCATAGGATCCAAATTCATTTATTCTTTATTTTTTTTTTTATTTTATTTTATTTTATTTTATTTATCACTTTATAATTTAATATTTATAATATGTAAACACAGAATTTATTTTAACAACAAAAATTTATTTTATTTATTTAAATTTTATTTACATTTATTTCCTTCTGAAAAACCCAAACCCTACTATCTTTTCCCTACTGCCACTATCTTCACTATTATTATTACTCCTTCCTCTTCTAACTTCTTCTTCTAAATTAACTGCTCGAGCTCTTAATCTATCTTTCTCCTCTCTCAACTTATTATACTTTGATTCCCATTCCTACTTTACTCCAACTACATCAACTATACTTTTTCTTTGCTTATCAATTATATCCCTCAACTCTCTATTCTCTCTTCTTAATTTTTCTAATTCATTTTCTTCTTCATTATCTTCTTTATTGTTTTCTTTACCTTCATATTCTTCTTCATATTCTTCTTCAACTTCTTCACATGAAAAATATTCTTCTTTTCAATACTTTCTTGAACCTCTTCTACTTCCCTTCTATTTTAAATTATTTTATTAATTTTTTTTTTCTTCTTTCTTTTTCTTTCTTAAATTATTATTTCCTTTTCTATTCTTTCTTTTCTTTTACTTACCCTGGCTTTGCTTGTTTCTTCACCCTTCTATAATTTATAGACAGTATATTAGTTTAATATTTATTTCTTTTAATTATTTAATTTAATTTTTTTTATATATACCTCAAAGCCATATGATTTTGATTATATCTACATGGCATATCTTCGTATTTTTCTTGTTTAAAACTTTTATTTTCTTTATTTTTTTTTTTTTTTTTTTTTTTTTTTTTCTTTTATCAAAGGAAATTCAAATTTATATTTTTATCGAATAATCAATTACTCCTTTTATTTAAAGTTTAAAATCACATTAAACTTTCAAATCCTATTGGTTAATTATGCAATTTTGGTAATAGCCTTAAGAAGTTACATTAAAAATTTTATAATTATCTCTATATAGCTATATGAATTATAGTGCTGTTATGCCACTCGAATATGCATAGTTCAAGTCCACGCTAAGAAGCTAATTCAGATGAATGCACTCAACTTGACAGCCTTAGCTAAATACTTGATTAGCAATCTTCTTTTATTATTTTATTCAATATTACTATTCATTTAAATAATAGTAATCTTATTATAATACCTTCGATATACTTTAAGTATTTCTTTTACTTGATTAGAAATACTTTAATTTCAATTTTTATTTTATTGTAATTTTCAAAACCTGATGATACAAGTCAAGTGTTTAAATAATGCTCTCCTGACTCTAGATAAACTAAAAAAGCAAAAGCCAGAATTATATAAAAGTAGCTTTTGCATACTTTGTCAGGAGAACCGTTCAGAAGACTTTGACTATATAATAAGCTGCTCAGCCTTACAAGAATTGTAGGAAGAAGTTGAAGAAACAGTAATAAAAGGTATAAGAAAAATACAAGATGAGAAAAACCTCTTGCTTCGACAAAAAGAGATAGAAGAAATTCTCTTCCCAAAAAGAAAAGAAGACTGCTACAAACGAAGAAAAGATCTAGTAATAGGTCTTGAGGAAAAAGAAGTAGTAGAAAGGCTGCAAGCATTAACAACAAAGAAGGAGGAAGCAAAGGAATGGATAGACAGCACTCACTTTATTATGCAAAGAAGCTTCACAGAGATTATATGGAGCTACCGATGTGGAAAAGTAAACAAGTGGGAAAAAGAAAGAGGAATTACGACTAAGAAAAAAAGAAATAATTCAACAAGGAAAAAACAGGTAGTAAAGACCCAAACAGATGAGGAAAGGAAAAAGCTTTTGTTAGAAAGGAAAAAGGAGAGAGAAAAGAAAAAAGTTTAGATAAATGAAGTGGTAAATGAAGAAGTATCAGAAGTAATTAAAAAAGGAAAAAGGAAATGGTAGAGTTTTCTTTGAAATAGTCAGACAATTTGTTCTAACCTTAAGGTTAGTATGACAGGTCACACCTGAGCACTCTAGTAGCAGCTGGATGATGTCAGACTTAGAAAATTAGGTAGATTAGTAATCATATGTAACTTGGCTACGGCTACGGTTAACAACTTAATAAAGTTTATGACATGACTGTCAAAGAAAAAAAAAAAGTTGGTGAAATAAAACTTAAATATTTATTAAATATTGATATCTTATATTGAACAGTAAAATGCAATTACTTAGTTGTATAAAAATTAATATCGATTATACTGACATCAATAACTTATCAAATTTAGCAGCACAATTATTGATCAACTTTTATGAGATGCCTTAGAATTTATGAAAACAGCTATATTATAAATAAAGCAGTAATTTTGATATCACTAATAGCACGTAAAAATCAGATCTTTATTATTTGATACTATTGCAGCACAATATACTGTATATTCACATAATTATTTTTGTATAAAAACCCTAATCGCTAGTTTTAAAAAACTGCATTAATGACACTTGATGCCTTGAGTTCATCTCTTTACGCTTTACAATTTCACTTATACGCCTAACCACTTCTAGTTTCTCAACTGAAATACCAAACTCATCATCTTGTTATAATAAAAATTAAACTAAATTCTTCACAAATTGTTTTTCTTCCTTAAAGAAAATTTACATAACACTGTTGTACTATTATCTTCTTCATCTGATTGAGCATCCTCATCATCTTGTTTACAGCGAATTTGTTCAATTAAGATTATATTATTCGGTATTTCTTCAATTAATAAAACATCATCAAGATGTATAAATTCATCAGCACTAAGCGGGTTATCAATTGGGAGTCTTGCAATCATATCATCTAAATCATGAGCTTGCTCATTCTCAATATTATAATGCTGCACCAATGGTGAATTGTTATCTTCATCAATAGAAAGGATACCAGCATATCACCAGCAATTCACAATAGTTTCACGGGTCACTTTTTTCCAAGCATCAGCTGCAATATAAATTGCATCAAGGATTGTAAAGTCTGGCAGGTTCTCATTTGGATTATCAGATACAGAATCATATGCATTAATTCTATTACTAATAAAATTCTTCTTATAAAAGTATTTAAACGAATTAATAATTCCCTGATCATAGGGTTGAATATGGGCAGTGGCATTAGATAACATAAACTCAATGTAGATATTTTTTAGTATTACATTGTCCTCAAGATAGTGTACTGTAGCTCTATCAACAAGAAGAAGAATATTCTTGCGGCACTTACCAAGCTGTTTATTTCAATCTTTTAATATTTTTGTCCAAATTGAAACCTAAAAAATAAAAATAAATAAAAAATAAAGTAAAATAAATAAAAATAAAAAATACAGTAAATAACACAAGTAAAATAAAAATTTTATACCTGCATCCAGCAAGTCTTGTTCCAGAAGTAAGAAACTGGAAGTTTCTGTAATTAATATTACGAAGCACATGAGATGTTTTATACTTATGAATAAGTAGAAGCTTTAATTTTTGAGTACCTGTTGCATTGCAAGTGATAAGACATGTGATTTGTTCCTTAGAAAGTTTATAGCCTGACTGACGACTAGTTGCAAGAGTTCTTGTTGGCTCTTGCTTCTAGTAAATACCAGTTTCATCAGCATTCTAAATATTATCTAGTGGATATTGTGCAATAATAGTATGTAACCTTTCACGTTCTTTACTAAGTTCAGCTTTTGATGGACTACTTTCACTTTCACTAACTAATTTATATGACCTTATCCCATGTCGTACTTTAAACCATGCTAACCATCCATTTGAACCATGAAATTTTTGCTCACCAAAGTGAGAAGCGATACTCTTCACTTTCTCTATAAGAACCTCATCACTTAATGGCATTTGTTTTGCAAATGCATATTGCAACTACTTATCCAAGACATTTTCAATCATCAGAAATCCTAGTAAACACACCTTTTTTGATTGTGCATTATGACCATCACCCTGAAGTTGAAGCTACTTATTTCGTTCACGTCAAATATCTGAAACTGCTTGTTCAGATATATTATATTCCAGTGCCAAGTCTTTTTGCTTAGGAGGATTTGGTGCAGAAAGTTTTTGGCAAATCTCACATTTTGTTACATCTGATATTGCTGCACGCTTGCATTTTGTACCTGAGGTAAGTACTTTACCAATTCTAATAGTTGCTATTTTTTAGTTACTCAAAAAGATAGAAAAATATTTCTGATTAAAGGCAGTAATGTAACAGGTAATATGTTAGTATTTTATGTTTAAAAAAAAAAAGGGGTCAAAAAAAAAAGATCAAAAAAAAAAAAAAAGAATCTGATAAAGTACGTCTACAAAGCGTTTCAGGAAAAAAAAGGCAATTTTAAAGTACACTTCCACAGCGTTTCAAAAAAAGAAAAAAGATGTAATAAAAGCACACTTATACAGTGTTTCAAAAGAAAAAAAAACAGACAATATCACAATATGCTTATACAGCGTTTCAAAAAAAAACCGGCTAAACAAAGTTCTATAAATATCCTATTACAGGATAAGAGCAAATATTAACTAAAGATCTTTTGGTTCACTTAAAATCTTTTGGCTATAAAGTTTTTTTTTTTAGATTATCTTAGACCAACTAATCATTATAATTAGCTAATTAGATTACTAATCCATTATAATGAGAGTTGAATTTATATGTTTAGTAATATATTTTAATCTAGAATCGTTATAAGAGGTTTGTATTATAAGATCCAAAATAATGAGGGAAAATACATAATTAAAATTTGGTTCTAACAAAAAACCCTGTTATAATGAGAGATCCGGTTTATCAGAGTCTGCTATAACGGGAGCAGAGTGTATTAATATTAAATACATTTGTAAATCGAACATATTGAAGCTATTTTCCTAATAAGCCCCAAGGGTTCAGTATAGAGTCGACTGTATATATAGAGTTGGTACTTGGTAACACCAATGATGCATCAATATAGAGCACCAGCTGGCACGAACTTTTAAATTCAAATGGCCTAACTGTAAAAGTGATAATAAGCTATATCTTTTAATTGAACTAATCTGAAAGTTCCCGATGTAGACAGTGAATGAACAACAAAATATGAGTTAAAAGTGCAATAAAATTCTGAAATAACTACACCACCAACTCTATGTATATAGCATTAAATATTTATGATATCAGTATATATATAGTAATTATAAGCTTTTTCTGTACAAGATAAGCCATTAGGATTTTAATGTAATGATTTAATAATAGATTCAAGAAAATATTTTAGGTAAGCAAAAATTGTTAAAGTGAGAAATAGCAGAAATATCATTATGAAGTCTTTATATAAAAGCTTTTCAGATAATAATTGTATATAAATTTTTTTATAGAATTAATGTACGGCTAATGACTATATTGTCTTCTTTTTAAAGATTTATTGGAGTCAATTTACTTTCTTTTAAAATGACATTAAGTTTTTCATATTCTATATATAAATTTTTTGTTAATTTTGCGAACCTCTCATTGAAATTAGTTATGTCATTGAAAGAAACTTCAAGTTTATAGATTATTTGAAGACATTTCTTTATTATTTCCAGTTTAGCTTTAAAGCTGAAAAAGTTAGACTTGGGTTTAAGCTCACAACGTAGTACCTGAACAATAGTGATGCAAAACCCTTTCATATTCTGTGTAGTATACCAACAACCAGAATGATGTTGTAAATTCACAGTTTTTCTATAACTGCTAGTATTGTAAAGTTCATTAGAATTAAATAAATATAACTATCTTACTCCTTTTGTTGTGCAGTTTGTTATATCTATGTTCTATCTACTTGTTGTTGTTTTTGTACTATGGTTGATTACATCATTGCGGCTGGCAGTAAAACCTGCCTGCTATGCTCCAAATGTTAGCTGGATACCCGAAGTTTGCTCATGGCCTGCTGAAAGTTTGATATTTTCTTGGTTGATATTTTGTGGATTATACGCTTTTTTTAGCATAAAAAGTTGAGAAATATCTGACTTAGAAAAAAGTAAAGAGACTCCAATTTCGATGGAGTCAATATAATAGCTAACAAAACCATGAGACAACTTGCAAATTTCATTAAGCATCTGATCCACCCCACAATTGAATAAGTCAATGCCAAACTCTAGAAAATTCCCAGACTTCTGCTTGTCAGTGTTAATATTTGCCTATAGATATGTATTGATGCTGAAACTTTGAAACTCTTTTTCAAGTTTAGCCTTTGCTATGGATGAGACTTGAATATAAGTATTACCATCTTTATCGCCACCTCCATCGTCATAATCATCTCCACCATTTCCATTTTCTTCATTTCTATCTCCTCCACTATTTTTGCTATCTTTATTTTCATTTCCATCATTTATATCTCTATTCTTTTCATAATCTTTTCTATCTCCATCATTTTGGTCCCCATTATTTCTATTCCTACCATTTTTATTTCCTTGTTCATTTTGATTACTGTTATTTTTTGAAGAGAGTATATTGTTTGCACCATTTCTATTTACATAGTTTATTATTTCGAATTCATTATCAAATAACACTAATAGTTTTTTCATTGTTGATATGTCAAAAGGTTTGGTAGCCCAGCAGGCAAGACATGGCATAGAATATCTTTGTTGAATGTCAGGCCCCACTGCATATACAGGCTGTTTGTCTAGTACTTTGTAAATTTTGGTCTTCTGTTCATTCAGTAGGTACAATGATCAACAAGCTAGAGGGTTAGTATATGGTGAAGTCGCAACCAATCTTCCAGGATTTACAAGAAATAGTTTGCGTAAAAAAACTGCAAAAGCTAGAAATATCTACAAGTTGTT